GAGAACCTGAAAAGCTTCACTTTGAAAAAAGGTACTACATTGCAAAATAATGAATTGTTGAAAACTTTTTAATGCTTTAAATCAAAAATTTTGATAGAAGCAAAAAACATATTGGTCCAAGTTTCCTTGATGTTTTCAGATATTCTGAAATCAACAGTAACTTAAAGTATTAAAATGGGGGTACGCTAAATGATATGCACGATTTGTCTCTTTTTAAAAATTTTTTTAAGTGGTTGACCAAATGCTTTACATTTTGGTACGTGTGGAACCAAATTTTCCAACAGGCTGAGGTTCAGTCTCTGTTTTTGCAGGTGGATTGATAAGCTTTAAATGCTGAAGATAAGTAAGAAAAACTCTGCAGCAATACCTTGGTTAGTGCATTAAGTCCTAGAGCTGTTGCTACAGCACCTGTGGTGGCAGAAACATAGGCTGTTCCCAGCTGGCTAAAACAAAAATAAAAATATTTACAAGTGCAAAGAACTCTTTAGTTTCTATCAAATATACTGAAAGGGATCTGCTCTATACCCTTCAAAAATTAATGGAAAAACAACACTCACTTCAACATTAAAAGGAGGAATGCAATGTGGGCAAAATATAAGCAAGTCTGAGGATACACTGTCTTAAGTGTCATTTTCAATATGAAACAAGTTACATAAAGTACTTCAAAAACTTCAATAGTGCTACCAGCAGGAGTATTATGGTGGTTATGCAGCACAAATTAATTCATATGGAATCAGATTCCCCTTTTCTTCTCAACCCGTTCAGCATGTGTTCCTTGCACTTGCATGGTCATCACTCCACATGGAGGTTTGGAAAGTTCAGGTTCTACCTTGAATTTCCAGATTACTCTCGTTAATGAAATTCAAAGCTTCTGACCTAGTAACAAGGTAACTTGGCATTTTCCAAGCCTGGCTAAACAGTGCAATAAAGATTTCCATTAAAGATTAGCGAACATATTGAAGTGATGTCCAGATAAACAATGCTATCACTTTTATTTTTAAAGGGGTAAACCTATTCTAAATCTCAAATCATTCTGGTAGGATTATTACTTACAAAGATGCTAGAACTATCTGATTTAGTGTCTGACCTGACAGTAATCGGGGCATCCCCACTTCGGTTGGTATAATTTACAATGGCGTTGAAGGACTGGTTAATCCACTGCCAGAAGACTACAGCAGGAGTCGTTCTAAATTTAAAAATATATATACATTGACATTACCAAAAGGCTACACACCAAGAAAAGTTAGCATGAACATAGGTAAAGTGATTCAGGCAAATCTGAAATGAGCTTTATTAATAAAATACAGATTGTGTATTGAAACATGCAGAAATTAATAGACAGCCTGGCAGCAGGCGACACAATACAACACAGCCCTAAGTGCTTATTCACTTAGGGAGGTATATTATAACAAACTGAGATGTTCTCACTCCAAGCTTTATTTCTAAAACACATACAAAATTTTTCTGATATATTGGCAATAGTTACAGGACAAGCAATTTTTTCTCTATCTTCGCAGTTTTTGGCAGTTTGGAAGAGAAGGCTGGACAAACACTTGGCTGGGATGGTCCTTCCTTCAGCAGGAAGCCGGACTGGATGACCTTGCAAGGTCCCTTCCAGCTGTATTTTGTTAAGATCTTATTTCCCTTTATGTATTAGCAGCTTTTGCTGGAAGTATTGGGAACACATATACATTGACTGATTAATGAATCCTGTCATCCAAGATACAGCTGTTTCAAAATATTTTTTGTCTGATATAGTATCATAACTTCTTTTAAAAAAAAAATCCTGAGACAGAAATTTTCAATTGCATTCAAGAATCAAAGGATGAATTTTCTGCTCATTTAGTCCAAATGAATAATGATTTAACTACACATTTCCATGGGGAACGAAATGATAGTTCAGTCAAAGTAAAAAGAAACAACAAGGAGCCCCTCTCGATTACGTGACTGTCAGTGAAGATCTGTCTCAAGACAGAAATCCTATTTTGAAGGCATTTAAATTGTTTAGTGGGTTAGTTCATGAAAAACTAAAGATCATGTTCAACTCCCAAAACTTTTATCTTAAAAAGCTAGAATACAGTGAACATGGTTGCTTTAGAAATGCCAGTTAGAGAGAGAGACAGGTAATCCTTTTAGTGTGAAGTCTAGGTTGGAAAACAGCGCATTAGCCTCAATGAGAGACAAATTAGAACATTTTTCAATTAAATCCTGCACTCATGGAGCCTTTTCCATATACCTAAGAATTTTACTTGTAGGTTTTTCAATGAAAAAAGTTTTTAGAAAACAAAACATTACCAGAGACAGGGCACATAAATTAGCCATCCTTTGATTTGTTCTTATAATCTGCATTGAAAGTAAGTGGGTTTGACTGATTTTTATTATTTATGTAGAGGATTATTCCTGTAAAAGGATGACTGCTTTGGCCTCAATTCAGCAGAACACTTAAACACACGAGTGATTTAACTGTATGTGCTTAAGTATTTTCCTAGTATCCTAGATAAAATATGAGATAATCTGTTTCTTGCAAACTTTAAATCAGAGCTGTTTGGCCATTACAGGGAACTACAGCCACCAGTTTTTGGTCCATGGTAATTCCCTTCAGTGGAGCATGAACGTTTTCTTTTGCTTGGCAAGTCATTTAGTAGGTGGTGGGAAGCAAAGATAACAGAAATGAAGGCTGGTGGTCAGCATGACAATGTGCTCCAGGAGCAAGTGCTAGCTTTGTCTGACATTATATAGCAATGACTAGGGAGACAAAGAGGCACTAGACTACATATTTCTCTTGCTTTAAAAGCTTCGAATCCCACATTTAAGGATACAGTCTGACAATTGAACCTGTATTCTTTCCCTAAACTTTAGGGTACAAACAGACATTACATATATTTCAAAAAAAAGAAACATTTTATCCTGAACAAACTGCACTCGTTCAGATGTCCATGTCCATCATCCTGGAACAAATCCTAGAAAGTTTTGCAGTATAAGAAGGGCTAACAGTTTGTCACAGGATCACATTTTTGTATCAATGGCAGAAAAATGGTATTGCATTCAGTCACTCACTAAACCCTGCTTGGGAGGGCAATATGTGCACATACCAATCCCAGGACTTTTCTGTTCTGGGACAAACACACGCTCAACTTGTCCAAATGCAATGTCTGCTCTTACCTGTACTTTCAAGTGATTTGAATCTGCCTTCTAATTCCCAAAGGCTTCCAACATCTGAATTGGGCCCCGAAACAACCCTGACAGACCAGCTTCTCCCACGCCTTCGCTCCTCTTAATTGTGTGTATGTGTTTCCTTTTCCCTACTCCTCCCCCTCACCCGCCTGTTTTATCCTCTTCGGCATCTGTTCTCTATTGAATGCAAATATT